TTCCAAGTATGTTACTGTTCATATCTATAAGTTCTGTCGTATAGAAATGAACAAAATTGAATACAAGTTTCAGAGAAATTTGTATTTAATTTTTATATTTTATTTAAATGTATTTTTTATGATGGTTCACTTATGCCACCGATAATAATAACGATTGGTGTTAAAAATTTTATATTTATGATGTCACGTAGAATCTTTTATTACTTTTTTAGCTCCTGCTTTCTTTATATAAACATGTTTATGTTTAGTTTCGATAAACAGATTTGTAATTTTCAGATCTTTCCAAATATATTTTTCTTACTTAGAATAATTTTTAAGATAAACGTGGAAGATTTTTTTGATAAATAAATAGATAATTTAATTATTTTAAAGCTTAAAATATTTAAATAGATTCAAATAAAAGTAAACATTTCATTCTGTTATATATATTTTTTTCAATTTGAGCCATTGTAAAATGAGTTTTAATTACAAATAAGGTGATAAGAATCAATTCCTAGATACTGTTTGTGATAATTCGTTGCTTATTGGATGAATATTCATTAATTCGTTAATTTTTTATTTTTTAATTTTCAAATTATTATACCTGTACTTTTTAAGAGCAAATGTTTCCTCCGTTAAGTTAGTATTTTTCTTTAATCTGAAGAAATCTAAAACCTACTTGAGAAATCTGTTTTGCAATAGGGATTTTATATCATTGGGTGAATGATCCAGTGAGATCTATATAACTTTACCACTTCATACAGTGTTTTATGATAGCCTATATCAGTCTATATATTCATAAAGCCGTTTTCGAGAGTCTCTTGATATGTATGATCTGTAAATAAATATAATAGGAAAAGAATAAAATTAACAATCGGTTAAATTATTTCTAAATGTAAATTATGAATGATCAATTAATTTTTGCCAATAATTGCTTATAATGAATGTAAAAACATTTTTAAAAAAAATAATAATAATCTACATCTATTTTTCTCTCACAATAAACCCATCTGTTCTTTCATATCCGCTTCTAATGTATGTCTGGAGAACGGAGCAATAATACATTGTTTATTATTATTCCTTGTCTAGCTTAATATATGGCGTACTACTTGGAATCACGTTACGATTCATAAAGAATTTTAATATAAATACTTTCTTTCGATAACAGAAATGTTTTGAAATGGATTTTTAATATCAAAAACATATTTTAGAATAGAAGCATTCATCAGTATTTTCCTAAGTTGTAACTAAAATTCGTTGTAGGCATCCGAAACTACCAAAAAATGTTTGTTGTGATTGTTGATCCAAACTTATTATAATCTGTTTATAATTCTGAGCTTAAATTTAATTTTCTTTGTTATATTATTTTATACAATAACCATTTTTCCTTTTACCATATTTTTACAGCGAGAATTAATCATTTTATAATCATCTTAAGCTTATCCATATCTTAATACTTTCTTTCTATGCCTCAAATGATTGCTGTTTTAAATAATTATATTGTTTTTAAAAGATAATAAACAAGTTGTTTTGAAGTTTTATAAAATATTCTTCCAAAATACTTTAGAGAAAATTAATTAAACATGACATAATTATTCCATTTATTTGTTTGTTTCAATATTCATGTCAGAGTTGTCTTCTCTGTCGAGCTATAAAGCAATGCTGGAGAGAAAAACAACTCTAAATATACGATGTATTTTTAAGATATCGATCTTTGTAGATTAACAAATTATAATGTTTTTAATTAGCCCTATAATGAAGAATAAATTTCTTACTCAAAAAATCAATCTGGCGTCATAAGATTTAAATATAGAAATTGTTAGGTGGATAACAATACTTCTCTGGATTTCTATAACACGGTATTCTAATTATGATCCGGTTATAGACTGTAAGTCGATTTAGTTCAAGTCGAAAATATCCTTACACCAGAAGTTATTGACTGCTCACTATCTGTTTATCATGTGTAGACCTACTCTATATAATTAAATGTACAGTCGACCCCCCCTATAACACTTAAAGTCACTTAGATTTTACAAATACGTGAGCCGTTCACAGCCCGACACACGTATTTGTAAAATCTAAGTGACTCGTACAACATGAAATTCATATAAAACGGAATAATCAACAGTGTTATAGAGGGGTCGACTATAAATTTTTTTCTGATTTTTTTATTCGTTTTCTTTGTTCAAAAAATGAATACCAAGTTCTATGAGTAATTGTTTATTTATTTGAAATGTCTCGAGAACAATATTTGTTGCCCCCAATACAACAAACAATCAACAAAACCCATTAAAATACGCACTAAAAAATAACATACATTATGAAACATATATGTGTAAGCCTGTATGTATATATTATAAATCATAATTAGAAGAGCATCTGTATATGTAAAGTTTTAACTAAAAAATATTTTGGGCTGCAATTTGAAAAAATTGTAGACCTATAAATTCCCATTTTTGTCTATTGTCTGTTTGTTTTTCCTTAATCTCGAGAACAGAGTTAGATGGATGAAAGCCAGGACAAGATATGGAAAGTTTAGGGGCAGGAGGTCCCGATTAACTTATACGAACATCCGGTGCAAACAGGAAGTCACGTTATTTCAATTCAAAAATTTCCCCTCTAATGGAGTCAGATAGATGACCGGCACGACTCTAACAGGAAAAATAGGATGTACAGGGACAAGCTATTACTAATTTGAGGTGGAGAGCATATATTTTAAGTTAAAAACTTATTAAAAATATGATTTAAAATTACAGCTCGGCATTTTGACGATGTCACAATAAGTAATTGCTCGTTTTATTATTAACTAATCACTGAAAAGAATTTAAACTCTACGATTAAGTTTTAAACAATGATGGAAATTTTAAATGCGTTAGTATTATTGCTATATTGATATCTATGCTCACCTATCAGTAGATTAATAATTAACTGTATAAATGATAATTTAAGTATGAAATAAGATGTTGCAGATCCATAAAACGCATTAAATTATATTCAGAAAGTACTTTAGTGCATCAATCTTTAGCTAATATTATAATCCATTGATATCGATAGGTCGTATAGTTATAGCATTTGGCTAATAGCCAGATCTACTCAATCTTTTTATTTTAGTTCTGCCGCTTCTACATTTATTACTTTTAGCATAATCTAAAATTTTTACTTATATTATTTAGTAAGAAATTTTCTTATTATTATTTTATTTATTTCTTTATTTCTTTGTAGTTATTCTAATAATATATTGGGTAACATTTTGCAATACGTGAAAAAAAGATTCGATTTTACTTAATTAAAGTTATATAAAATCAATTTTTACGAATTATTACTGATTATAAAATGATTTTCTCCATTGCGCTTTTAATAAAATCACGGAAACATTAATTAGAAACAAAAAATTTCAAATTACTAAATAAATTCGAAAAGTTATCAATATGAACAGGGCCAGATTTATGGGTGAACATCCTGGACACGTGTCTAGGGGGCCCCCAAACTAAAAGGGCCTTGAGGTCTTCGTATAAACAAATCCGCCCCTCTAAATATTTTGTGTTTACTTTACACGTGCGTATAGATGTATTTAAATTATTTTAAAGTTATTATAAATACATAATTAATGCGATTTTATATTAATCAGATTTACATTTTAATGAGTCTTGGGTTTATATTATTTCTTGATTTAAAAAAGTTCAGTTATTACATTATCATATCAATTACATAAACAATGTAGAAGGGGGAAAGTCATCTGTAATGAAAGCAAGATATTGAACGGAAGTCAAAAGTATTATTAGTGGATCGATCAAGGTTTTGGAAATATCCAAAGCTATCAGAACACGTATTTAAAGTTGTCATATATAAAAGTTTTCAAATTTTATGTGAATAAAATTAGTAAATATAAATACAAGTTTTCATTTAATCATAAATTATCATTTTAATAATTGTTTGAGCTATTGAAAAGATTTCTTATATTTTCGCAAGGAATTAAGAATCTTGCATTTTAATTTTAAGTCTTCAATAATTATTTTCTTAACCCACAATTTTATATTCCCGATTATAAACTTTCGATTCGTAGTTCAAATATTACTACATAATAATAAACCGGTCTATAATTAGAATCCTTTTATTTGGTATGATAATTTCTTGGAAATAATGTACTGAACAACGATGATTTCATTCGTAAAATAATGAGTTTTAAACTGACTTTTAATTTTGTTGAGCTACATTAAAATTAATAACCTTGAAAACAAAAAAAGTTACTTTAATATCTGGAATATGAAAGGGCAAAGGACGATTGCCCCTTGGGATCTAGTAAAAAAATTTCATAAATTTTAATCGTAAAAGTGATTGAGATGCACAACCATACACCCTTATTTGTTTATGGAAACGCGATACGTGGGCGATATGCTTAGGGAGAATGCCCCTCGGGAGGTCTTTTACGGAAAACTGGCCCTTATTTAGGTGTTAAAAACGTGAAGAAACCCGGCAAACTCCACGTGGCTAGGCGCGAACCCACGACCAGTGTTCGGTGGTTCGGTACTTGGCCACTAATGGGCACCTTATACCCTCGAACATGAGGCAGTCTGTCTGTCTTTTTGCATTAATTCAATACAGTATTCTATAATTTATTTATGGAAAAAAAACCCAAAAAATTAAATAATTAAATATAAAATTTAGTGATGTAATTGTCTCCAAGCTTCACACCCTCCCCTGAAAAATTTTTTGTGAACGTCCATGATCTGCAACGTGTAGGTTCGTATTTTATGTTCTTGATTTTTTTTAAGCCATTCTAAGAGTAGTAATTCTGTCTTCTCTCTCCGCTGAGCAAAAGTAATGCGATTTTTATGGGTAAACAATCACTCGTTGGCAAATGACACGCTAATGATATGCCATCGAATCTTTTTAGCAGTATTTTATGTAGAACGTTGTCTTCATCGGAAGAAAATACGGTGAGACCAAAAATTATTAGAGTTCTGCTGATTGGACCGGAAAGTCACTTACGTCAGTTAGGTTACGTCACTGTCGTCGTCTCTGAATGCTGGAATGTTTCACAGTGAAGCCAGCTATGGGAGAACCGGCGGTTGATTGCGGCGGGTATACGCGAATTCGTCGTAATTCAGCTGCAAATTTACAAGCTCAGTTTGATTTATTCGGTTTCGAATTATCACCAACGTTCGAAGGTATTTTTATTTGATTTTACTTACTTTTTTTCCCATTTTTTTACGCTTTATTCTCCGCGTTGTCTTCGGTGTCCTTTGGCAGTAGAAGTATGATCGATATTGAGTGGAAAGCTGGTGTATACATATATACCTGTTTGATATAGCCGCATCGCCCGAAACGATTTTACCTACTATGCAACTGCTATAAGGATATTCTCGGATTCCCTTTATGAAAGGATTAAATTTCTGTTATCGTCTTTGAAAATTTTAATCTGAAACCAAGAGCCGTTATTAAAAGTTGAGAATATTGTTGATGTTCTGTTGGAATTAAAATATATATCTTTTCATCGGAGAGATTGAAAGAGAAAGTTTTAAATATTATTTAAACTTGCTTTTAAGTAGAATTTTATACCGAGTTTTTTTTTAATCTCGGGTTGAAAAAGAAATATTTTCATTTCTGACTTTTAAATGGCTTTTAATTAAATATGTTATTTATTTATTCGAATTTTAGTATTTTATTATAAAAGTAAACATGCGCTCTAAGTAGATATTTGTTAATTTCTTTTATCTTTTCTTTTCAGAACCTCCAGTATTCACAAGAAGAAAATCAGGTAATATTTAATAAATTTAAATAAATGTTTAATTTATTTTAAAANATGAAAGCCAGGACCAGATATGGAAATATTAGGGACAGAAGACCACGATTAACTAAATACAAACTTCTGGTGCAAACCGAAAGTCGCGTTATTTCAATTCAAAAAATTTTCTAAAGACGTTAGATAGATGATCAGCACGACTTTATTGCTAACAGGAAAAGTATGATGTACAGGGGCAAACACTTCTAATTTGAGGTGGAGAGTATATATTTTAAATTAAATAAATTTAAAAATTATGATTGAAAATTGCAGCCCGGCATTGTGACGATGTCATAATAAATAGTTGCTCGTTTTATACAGAAAATTTCTATCTTAATGAAAATTTTGATTATAACGAATTTCTTTTAATGTCTGTACAAATTACACATTTTCTATACAATGTATGATTTGTACAGACACAAAAATGATGACAATAACTTTGGTTTGATGATAATTCTATTCAAAATATTTGTATGACGTAAAGTAATTGTTAATAACACAAATTTAATAATTTATATATTGACATTGAAACAAAGAAAGCTAAATTAACGCATATTTAATATTAATCATACTTTTTTTACTTTTGTACCGGTACGGTCACTTAGAGGGCTTTTTCCCCATACCCATTATGGGTTCGATCAGACCTACAATGGAGGCGATCGGATAGTGAAGGACTGGGCTGACATATCTGTGACAGACTGCCCATGAGAATTTCTTCGGGAGTTGCTTGCTTTGATTCAATTCTGTATTCCCCAGAGCGGGAACTGCAGCTGCCAGTATAAAAAAATACTGGAAATGTGCGAAATGTAAATTATTCCTTACTTTTTAAACTATTTGCATTAAAATAGATCTATTTATTAGTTTTTTTATTACATAAAATTTAAATATATTCTATTAATTATAATCTTAATACAGTTTAAAGTAAATGCATTCTTCGAAACAAATTATATCTTTCGAATTATGTCATAAGAATAATATTAATTTTTTAATGTAAAAAATAACTTTGTAAAAAATAACTTTGATATACTGTATAATATCAAATTTTGTGTACTTAAAGGATCGTTTATTTTTCTTCTTATACAAGTAGAACCTCGAAAACTCGGCCTAATGTGGACCGAAGGGTGGCCGAGTTTGTGAAAATGCCGGGTTATCGGGAATGGGGTTAAAAAAATAAGTACGAGTGTTTCCTCAGAAAATACTGTACTGTGCTTGTATGTATTGTTTACTTGAGAATATAACAGAGAATAAACTGCCCAAATATCCTTAAACAAAGGAAAAGTACGTTCTTTATGAAGGCATAGAGCCTTTACTACATGAAAATGAAAATTAATGAATACACTGTGTACAGTAATTTACCTGATAAGACAGACCTCAGAAAAATACTTTATGAGAGATTTATACTTTTATAAAGCTGTCTATAATGAAAATTAATTAACTAAGGATGTTTTTGCTTTGCCAGGGTGTGGCCGAGTTATCCGGAGTGCCGGGTTATCGAGAGCCGAGTTTTCGAGGTTCTACTGTATAAGGATCTATACACTTAAAGTTCTATGATTTTCTAAGATAAAAATTGTTATACTTTTTGATGAAATTGTTTTAGATGCTTTACTAAATAACGAATTTAACAAGGAATTGAGAAACACTACTTTAGAGACATTAACGTATATCATATATAAAATTTTTTCTTTTGTAGTTACTAAGTGTTTTTTTTTTCTGTCGTCTAGCAATTCAATTACTTTTAATGCTTTACTGGAATAATTTATAGTTCTCATTACACTGAAATCAATTATTTGTATTCAAATGCAATCGACGAAATTCATATCACACCCATTGACTACATTAGGCCTATATACAAATGGGAAAACTTTTCCCCTCGACGTCAAGTATAAACCAAGCTGACCTATCATCAAATTTGCGTTGTTTTTTTTTTTAGTTTCAATTCTTTGTCACGCAAGTACTTTTTCCCGTACTCATCGTTTTGAGCATGGAAGAAAGGTCAGCTCAAGTTAGGCCAGACCCCAAATTGGAGTTACTGAATGATTAGGGACAGGATTCAAATCTCCTTTCCGCCAATCCTCCAAGAAGATTTTTAAATTTTTGAGTCGACTAGTTTCGATCCATTCCCACAGCGTAGGTCAGTGCCTTTACCATCTCGGGCATCAGACCATCATTTTTGTGAAGTCATTAAAATAACCTGAACACCATACCATTTATCATAAAGAAATTATAATATGCAGTATAAGAAAAATCCTAAAAGCATGTGAAAAATTTTGTCTCAGTGCATTGCAAAACATCGACACGCTTAGAGGTGGGATCAAGATTTTCCAAGCCAAGAAACTCAACTTAAGTTAAAAAGAAATATTGCTACTTTTAGCTTTATATTAAATATGTTTAAATTACATATGAATAAGCTGTATTTCGGGGAATATAAGGTAATATGAAATATTCAATAAATTCCTATTGATATTCAATTTACTTTAACGTGTTAAGAACATAATTTACATAAATATGTATGTATGTAAGGATGCGTTTGTCAAAAACAAATTCCAATTGTATCAGTATATGCAATATTTTAGCATTTTAGAATCTCGAATTCCAGTGGCTTAGTTTTAAGAAAATAATTTACAAAATATTTTGTAATAAAAATGTTTATTTCTATATTAATCTATAATTTTTAAAATAATTTTAAGTCCTGCTATGAAGGTGAGACCATTTGTGAGTGAGACCAGTTTTACAATGGGTATTGCCGACAAGGTTTGATATATCCAAACTATAGTCTATATATATATATATACATGCTTTAATTATAATGTCATTTCTACTCGTCATGAGTAACTGGAAATTCAGAAGATATAAATCAATGCAGTGATTCACCTTGATTCAATTAATAAATGCATATTGTATAACTTCAAAAAAGTAATACAGAAAACAATAAAAAAATGTAAAATTGCGAATTATCAAAGTTAAAAATGTACACAAAAATATAACTAATAAAATGAAATATTATTTAACAGAATAGTAAATTACATAATATATTTGTTGTTAATTAATCTGTGAATTTTCGTTTCTTTGTTTCTCGCGAAACGAAAGAACAAAAGAATTTTGATCCTAAATTAATATTAATCTTATTTAGGATTGCCATCTTGGTTAATTTTATTGAAAAATAGTGCGAAATTTATGTTCCATTAAATTTTTACTGTCTACGAACACCAAAATGGGCGATATCAACTTTTTGACATTGCGAGTTGAACCATCTCATGCTTTCTTGTAGATAAGTCTCTGTAGTTATATTTGAAGAAATAAGAGACTTAACTTTGAATTACTGTTTCACAATCGCTCGGTAGATGGTTTTTTTTTCATACACGTCCATTTCATCCAGAAATTTTACGTTATTAAGGCTTTAAATGTACGCTCTGACGTCATTCTTACGTTTAACTGTTCGATCGGTCAATATAGTGTTTAGAAATGAAGAAACACGTGTTATAGAAATTTGTTTTCTCTCTACTAAAGAAAGTCCATTAGTGGCCGAGTAGTTAAAAATCGTTTTGTTCCTGACCAATGGGCTGACTGCACAGTTTTTATTTTCTCAACTGTTATAAATAACAGAGGAAGAGTACGGCGATGATAAAATAATTTTCCCTCCCCCGAATATTTTTACATTTTTAGACTCAGGACACCTTGAAACGTTGAGAAATGCAAAAACATTTGGGGTGTTTCTTTACGTATGGATGTTTGCGTGTATGAAGGCACGATTTTGTTCACTCTGAAGCTTAATAACTTCTGTGCTTTTTTTCGAAAATTTCTGAAATTTTGTAGGGAGGTTTGTATATTAGGGGATTGATGTTATTAAATTTTGGTGATTAAAAGTCGACGGAGTGGGGAGATAGTGGGGGTTATATGTCATATCTTGAGTAGGGTCGGACTTAATAACAATTTTACTTGTTATTAGCATTTAAAATTTTTTATAAAACTTATCCCTATCCTCAAAATTAAGCTTTATCCTATTTTATAGTAATTAAAAATATAAAAAGTTTTTAATAATGAAATACCATAACAGATAGCGCTACAAACGCAGTTGTAAATGTCGTCGGGAAAGTTAAGCAACTTATTGTTGGATTTTCTGTTATCTTTACCCGTCTAATTCCTAAATAGGGATCAGTCTCCCATAAAAATTCCTTTAGGGAGGTGGCAAATCGTTGTGTTGCTTTTTCCTTATCCCATTAATCCACTCTACCAGTAAAAGGAAAATCAGAACAGAATGTTTATAGATTTATTTCACGAGAACACCCAGTCATATTTCACGAAAAACTACACTAAATCAATATATTTGTATATTGAATTATATAACAATGTTTTCTGTTATATTCTATGTAGTCTCTTATCTACTAGCCTGTATTATTGTATTACACAGAATAGATTTTTCAGTATAAATTTCAGAAAGACTTCGCTATAGGCCACATTAAATTCAATGTAAAGATGATTTAGCATAATTATTAATTATAGAAAAGTTATCAGTATAAATGACTATTGAAATTTGGAACTATAAGCCTGTGCACTGATATAAATAAAAGTATTAATGTAGTAGTTTGATTAAGCAAATTTATTCTCATTTTTATAATTATATATATATATATATAGAAGTAAATTGTCATTTTAATTATTAAAATATTTCATACCTATTCCAAGAAATTCCTAATGTTTGGTTCAGTAAGAATATTTATTTTCTGTATTTGGTTGCTATTGATAGACATCAATCGAAGTCACTTATGTAACAAGACGAAAAGAATAACATCGAACTAATTGCAAATAGCTAGTAATCGAACTAGAACAATTCTTTAGGAAGCGCGGATTAGAAATGAATCACTGACACTCAATTAAACAGACTTTCGGATTTGTCAGTTTGACAATTATATCAATAATCTGCTTCATCTTCAGTAACGTAACCAGGACGGACCTCTTACCTTTATTTGATTTTTCTC